GTTTCCTTGAGCCCACTGTCCAGGGCCGTTTCTAGCTTTTTGGGGACCCTGCCACTGACTACAGCTGCAGAGGACAACAAATCACTGACTGTTCTCATTATGACAAGATCTTGAGACAGGCTCGTCTCAGACTGTTCAGACTCTGAAGAAATCATGCAATGATTTTACAGCATAACTGTGCAAGAGTTTTCCAGAGGGTGGTGTAGAACATTATGTTTCGTGTTTAAGAAAAGAGGCTGCTTGTTTGACGATGGTCTAGAATACTGAAAAGATTAATATCCTTTGTTTAGCATACAAGACATCTGATTTTATGTCACACATAATAATCTTGACATATAAACTAGCTATGGGTAAAACGTGTGGTTGTTATACCATTGTTATCATGAACTAAACATAAATAGGGAAATAGTATCTGGTTAAAGATGAACTGATTTGATATCCTAGAAAGGGTTAGTTATATTGTGAATACTTCACAAAGTATTTACTAATGTATTTTGAAGAACAAATAACAAGAACACAAGTCCAATTTTGTTTTGTTTTTAGATTAAATTGTCTATTACCAAAACTGTTCACCTTAGGTCTAGATTTAGACTTTGATAGTAAAGGAGTATTTAGGCTTATTTTTATATCTGACATTTTTTAAATATGTTGGCTATTCACTAGATAGACATTTATTGAGAACATTTCTGAAGATTGAATATTTGTTCAGTTTCTATTATTTCTATTTAAGATGTAATTTTAGAGTAACGAAGGCTGATGCTGAACTTGGAAAAATGTGTTAGTGGTCTGCATGATGTAAACAAAGAGGCTTTGTTGGTTCAATCACCAGTTAAATCTGATACAGTAATAATGATTTACTTTAGTACCTGGTACTGTAATATGGTTTGGTATGATTGATTGGCTAAACACTTAGTTTAACATCCTGATGTAACATTATGAGGTATGTTCACTTCTAAGGGTAAACAAATTGATAAAATGGATTATTGTTATTATTATTGATTAATTTGGAATATTAATTAAAAAGACACTGCAGGTTCACTTAGGAATGCCTTGCAAGAACATTTGTCAGGCTTTGTGTTTCCTAGGGGCAGTACATTAATAAAGTGTATTGATAATTTGTTTGTTTAACATCAGAAGAAAATTGTGCATCGAACACGGGAAAAACTTTGTTGCATTGTTTGACATCAACACAATGATGTCACTGATTAAAAACTCCAGCTGGTAGAATATCAAAGTGCACTACTATAGGACATGAGATCTCGAGACTGACTTAGACTTTGCAAAGACTGAATGAATGTGAATTGATTTGTCAATTCCTGACTGTTACAGTAACACTGACCCACCGACAAAAGGTGATTTTATTTTGGGATGCACACAATGGTTTTGGCAATGGTTTTCTGACTATGCCATATTAGTTGAACCATTGTGAGACATGACGCATGAACTTTGTCTGACTCTGCATGATCCCTGCATGGCTTGATGACTATGTAGCTTGATATTTAACATTGTTGATTCTTTTTGACAGGAGAACGTTTTTTTTCCTTTGTTTTAGGTGTTCCTGATGATGAGTCATAGGACTTTGAAATAACATTGTATGTGAAGATGGGTACTCTGAAGTATCTTACTTGGGGAAACATGGTCTCTATGGTTTGAAGGACAATGTTTCCAGGAGGGGTATAATGGGTTTATTGTTCAATTTAGTAATTACATTTTAAGATGTATTTGACAATATTTTGTTTCCATCCCAGGTGAAATCTTTCATTATTTCTTCTGTGACACATTGGTTTCAGATGTCTTTTAAAATCTTGTCACGTGAATCTTTTAACCCTCACATGATCCAGAGGGCAAATGAAACAACTTTTTGCCTAAACAACTTTTTTCCTACATGGTTAAGCTCCTGATTGGGTTCTGCTAAAGACAGGTATGATTAAATGTATTGTTCGAAGTTGAGATCTGATTGGTTTCAGCACCGTGGCTGAACAATGTTGCAGGAGATGTTTGTTGTGTGTTTAGGAAATTGTGGGTAAGTAAAAACACAACACAAACAACATTTCATGGTTTCAAGAAGTTAAAAAATTATAGGTAAGACTCTAAGACCTAGTGGTCGACTGTAGGCTGTTAACCCAGAATGCAAGTGCTATTTTCTACCCAGGTCAAAGCTGTCTTTCCCCTTGCAATCTTGAGGAGGGAAGATGGATCATTCTGAGGCAGATGTTTTAAGGAGCTGCTCTGGAGGCAGACTGGAGTATCAATGAAGGCAGCTGGATGACTTCCAGCTATTCTTCTACTGCTATTGTCTTATGGGTTTGGGTCAACACGAAGAATAAAACCCAAAACTTCTGAGATGATTTACAGCCAAGTATATTAATAATCTCAAAACTCCAGAGAACATATAGAAGATCTACCGTCAACTGTTCTTTTACAGAAGTCTCAGTTTTCTGACTACAGTTCCATCGAATTCAAATGGTAATGATGTTGCTTCAGATGTCATCAAGGGATTTTGCTATGAGATGGAACACCACAGCATGAAGGCTAAGATAACAATTCCATCTAAAGGCTACGCATGAAGATTGGAACGTGCACACTAGGGATGGGTATCGTTAAGGTTTTAACGGTACTACTACTTTTATCGATACCGCTTATCGGTCCGGTCTTTTAACGGTACTCTTATCGGTTCTTTTGGAGAGAAAAATGAGGTAAACTAACTATATGTTGTATGTCAGGGACTACGGATGGAAATTAGCTCAAAGCTAAAATCCGGCATATTTACACTTGAAGCTAGGGTGACCAGATGTCCCGCTTTGCGCGGGACTGCACAGCATTTTCACGACTTTTGGTGCGTCCCGCAAATTGAGACGATGTCCCGCATATTTCATTTTGATTGGCCAAAACGCTTTTCTGCCATTATGATTATGTTTTAAACGGCATTATGTAAGTTGCGCTGACAGGCGACAGAGGTCCACAGTGTACCCCCCCCCCCCCCCCCGTTGACAGTTCATGCGTCAACATTACATTTACATGTCCCACATTGTCCCACACAAATATACTCTCTGTCCCACTTGTGGCTTTCTGTCACCTGGTCACCCTAATTGAAGCATTATTTGTCTAAAGTGTCATTAATGTGCATTGTCCCTATTCAAATAAACGATTAAATGAAAATTAACAAATTGTGAACAAAACTAACATTGCTTTTTATTTAAATGAAATGCATAATATTTCACATCAACAGAAACAACAACGTTTTAACAAATCATATTAAATAATCTGATGACAGAACTGTGAACAGAATGGCTGAAACTTTAACAAACTAAATAACTCAGTTCCCTCTAATCATTAACCCATGTTTGAATCATTGAGTTAGCTCCGTGTGTTGCTGCTAGCATACATAACACCTGACGTGGAAACGTTACTCGTGGATGGGGCTACAGAGCTACTAGAGAGACAGTCGAACCCGGTGCATTTCTCCGTCTGAACGTGGTGCACTTTTGCAAGATGTTTAGACAAATTGCTCGTGTTACCGCCCTGACATGCTAAACTCTTATTGCACTTTAGGCAACGAGCGAGACGGGTAAAGTTTAACCACACCTCGGAGCGCGTTCTCTCCGCCATCTCCTCCGTGTGTGTGTGTTGCTGCATGTAGCAGCTGCGTGTGTGTAAACTGCCCCACCCCCTCGCAAGCAGGCGGGGGAGAGAGATCTCTCGTCTGGATTGGAGAGATCGAAAATACTAAAAATGACGCATTTTGCGTATTAGAAACGGAGTTGGCGACACTAAAACTGCAATATAATGTTTGTGTAGCAATAATACACATGACATATTTTTTAGATGTCTCCAGTACCGATAAAAAGACCGATAACGTCGGAGCTTAACGGTACCACGGTCTTTAATAATTCAGCCCCGGGGCCCGTTTAATACCGGGGCTCGGTACCCATCCCTAGTGCACACCCTGAAGAAGTGTTTAATGGACAATATAACAGAAGCAGAACGAGTAGACGCCAGTTACATCTTGCTACAGTATAAGTGTTTTGGAAGATTTTTCATTATGTATATATGTAAGTTTGTTAAACTTGAATGGGACAAATAGATTTTTTCCTCTTAAGCATACTGAGGTTTTTAAATGATTTTCCATTTAAGTAGAGTAGATTAGCGCAAATTGTCTTTTCTTCCACTTTTTGTGTTATAATCAAAAAGGTGGTTTTTTGGCTATTTGTGAGTAGGTACAGTACAGGTGACCTGTGACTTCTGCCTTGAGTAAAATGATTACCCATTGATAAATGTTTTTCAGAAAGTCATTTTGGGCTTTCGAGGGCGGAACTCAGTAGGTTATTTGTAATAATTATTATTTTTGATTGTGTGACCTTAATTAATAAAAGGAGGGAGTGTTATGGCAGAATGTTTATTACAGCGTATTTCTGGTATATTCATTAATGTCACATGGTATTAAGCAACAGTATAGTGGACTGTGTGGTGTTCATTTGGTTTGCTGGAAGGAGGCCCATCTATAGGCAACCAGCTGAAACTCTTCACCAGCAGTTGTATACATTGGCATGTGTGGTAGCTGCTAAATAAGGTCATTAAATCTGGGATCATGTAGAACTCAGAGGATGCAACATATATGACTGTATAAGGTTGGAACATGTCCAAGTTTAGGAGAACTGACAATGTGTGTGCGTTAAACATGTTGAGGGAACATGTTCGTGTGTCATTTAGAAAAGTATATCTAGCCCTGTGTTTCTTGTATTCGTTGGGGGGCAGTTCCACGATTGGCTGCTGTGGCAGCAGGTAATGTTTCCCCATTATTGTTTGTTTGTTGCAACAACTAAATAATAATTACTGATCAGCTATATCTGTGTTTGTGTTTTATTGATTCCTCTCTGTTTCATTCTTTCCTGTTGTGTGAGTGCTGGATCTCCACAACATGCTCAACAGTTAAACTTTTCAAAGAAAATATATTAGTGAAAGTTTTGGATAATTGGATAAGACAAAAGAATGTGACTTACGATATGTACTGCTCTGTCTTGTTGAATTTCTTGGCGAGGTACTTTGCTGATGCTTTGCTGGGTATCTTGACAAAGGACATCTCTTTACCGAAGCGCGTCATGTTGCACGGCGTCTCGCACACACAGTAGTCATTGTCTCTCTCGACAAGAAAGTCTGAAAAATAGATTATTTAGGAAGTCAGAGGTAGATAGAGGACAGATAAATGGAGAGAGAGAAGACACAGAGACAGACAGATTTATCATCACCTCAGGATGACAAACACAAAGCCAGCAGAGTGAAAGGCGTGAAAGAAAACTTTTGAAATAACGCCGCTAGGAGACACACTAGAGGCTTTTATGAGAAATATAAAAGATATCAGACATGCAGCGACAGCTTGAGGCCGGACGCATGAAATGGTTTATTGAAAGAGTGAGAGATTTGAAAACAAGCAACAGTCATGAAAGGCCTGAGAGGTATCAGCTGATAAAGAGACAGGGGAGTGTGAAAAGGACCGGCTAAGCGCCAGGCCTGAGGTTTACTATTCGAGCTACCTTCAGGCTAAAGGAACACTTTTATCTGTTATCAGCATGGATAGGGGCTTTGAATAGTTGGCTATACACATTGAACAGTGAATATGCACACTCACACTCTCACACACATACAGCATGCTGGGTTATCTCCTTACCCAAGGCAGGATCTGCACAGTCCTTGTACTGCTCCGGGGTGCAGTACGGGGCATCTCCTAAGGACACATAATATTCTCAGTGTGAACAAAAGGAGAAGAGGGTTTTCCCAAGAACCACAAAGGGTGACAAGATGTTAACTGATAATTAATGTTGTCTCAGTGTGTCATCACCAAACTTATCATGCCTGGATATTCTTCCCAAATGTGATCCCATCTCGTAATTGATTTCATTAACTTTTGTACTTTCCGCCTCTCGTCACTACTTTCAGTCCGTGTCACCCTTGTCTCTGTCACCCTCTCCATCTTTCTCCCCAGTGGCAGTTGAGCCATCCCTCTCCCTCTCCCTCGACAAAGGAAAAAGCTGTGTCCTACATGTAGATGTAGAGGAAATTATTTCCCAGCTACAATAATTCACTGCATTTTGCTTTAAAGTCGTGAAAAATCAGTCTAATGACAGGAAGATAGCATAGATGGATAGGAGCAGAGGATTTTAGCTGGGGAGTTGTCTGTAGACTCACATAAATCAACTGCACAATCACTTTAGGGTAGCAGTTAATCCTGATTATTTCCCAGACAGATTGTCTGGGTCTCCCTGGATGTGCAAACACTGACCGTGATTGAATAGAGACACGTTAACAGTTATTGGACAGGTGAGTGCGGTTTAACAGAGGCCAAATTCCAATGTTTCCTCTGTGCCAAACTCCTTTTCAATTTGCCAGCTCAGATGCCACCCTGTGATTAAATTTAGGAGGTAGACTACATATGCCAACTGTAATCACTGCACAATTTCGAAGGGAAACACTTGAGTTTTCCAATCCAGTGGAGTGTGAAAGTATCTGATGTGTATGCAGTCACTGGCAAAAAGCTCTTTGTTCCATAAGAATTGTTTTTGCCACGCCAAATTCAAATAAAAGCACTACAAACCACAAGAGACACTTTAACATCTTCATCTATATAAGCTCATGTAGATAGCATGTATGTCGAGCAGGGACATGCCCCTGTGGTTCCTACCAGGCATGTGGACCATCCTGCAGTTGCAGTTCTCCACCAGGTATCGTGTCTCGCAGTCGATCCGGCAGGCTGTGATGCTGTAAGTGTTGAAGAAGTCTGAGTCCATCGCCGAGGCCTTGCAGTCCCCCCAAGGTGGAGGCAGGTACGTCAGCTGAGAGAGAAGCAACAGTGCAGAACCAATTTAGCTATAGAGCTTATTGTCTGTTCAAGAACATCTCCTGTGCCCTGTTAATGCAGTTATTTGACCCTTTTCTTTCCCTCAATACCTATATTTACAAGCCAATACGCAGTTTTTTTGTATTAGGCTCTGAAAAGGATTGCTTTTACTCCATGGTGGATACATGTGTATAGTGGAGCTTATGGTGGGCGGTTCTCTCCTACGTTTCTTCTATTCCCAGTGTGCCTCTGTGCTTTATTTGTACAGCCCACTCTCCATGCAGGATCTGAATAGTATCATCAGAGTATTAAAGCTGTGAAGTTTACACTCTTAAAAGCTTCGCTGCAGGACCTGTGGAGCCATGTCTCCTCTGTTTTGATCCACAAATGTACAATTGATGTGGACAGCAGACATATCCGTCAGTCACACAAAGTGACAGTGAGCTTTTGACCTTGTCTACCACATTGTATTCTGTGAAACCTTGTAAGTGCCATGCACAGTAACATGTACTGAAACTGCTGTATACACAGCAAAATCATAAAAAAAAATATTAATGACAGATCTTTTCATTTTTACCCTTTTTGTTTGTTTTCTAATAAACCATTTTTTAAATGTATTTTACTTTTGTATTCTTACTCAGCCTCTTTAAGCACATTCTTAAAAGTATGCAACCTAGCATTCAACTGCACATACTGTATGAGCCAACCTCTTCACATTCCCAATTCGTCACATGCGGACGATTGGTCAGGACCATTTACTGTATAAAGTATGAACAACATCTGTTGTAGGATGACTTTCAACATCTGTCCAGGGACTACAGATGAAAAATAGCCTGTTGGCTAACTCTGGCGCATTTACAGGAATGTCAATCAATGTGCACTGTCCCTGTCAAATAAATAAATAAATAAAATAAATAAAAACAAAAGATGGGACTTATAAAGTAGGACAAATGTAAAAAAATACCCACTATTTCAAAATAAGCCCCAATGATTGTGGCTTACTGTATACTTGAGGTTGCACCAGATTATTCATGTCGAGAAAGTAAAGTGAAGCCACTTAAACAGAGTGCTCTTTGAAACATACATATCATATGTAAATATGAGGAATATTAATTTAAATAAAGCTGCTTTAAAGAAAGGACTTTGATGCATTAATATGCATTAAGGGAGGAAGCTATAAAAAGCCCCTGTGTGTTTCCTTCTCATCAGTGCATCACTGATTGCTCACACAGCAATAAATTAAAGGCCAATGTTATGATTTAGGGACGAAGCTTTTTCAAATTTGTACTGGAGTGCAAGAGGCAACCAGGTGTGTCGCACTCTGGATCTGGTTACTAATAACCCAGGGCGATGTTCAACATGCACATACAGTGTTCACTCACACACACATACTTTACGGCACACACAGCGAAACCTGAAGCTCTGACTAAAATCCAATCAGGAGACTATAATCATTGCTCTGCATATTTTTACATCAAGGACGCTTCACAAAGTCAGACAGAACATAAAAACCATAAGAGCCGGGTAAAATATGGTAATCAATAAGAAGTGCTTGTGTATTTATTCATCTCATCACGTGGCCTAGACCTATGGAAGGAGCTATGTGGCTGGGTGATTTCTTATGCTCACAGTTCTGACTTTAAGATTTTGTTGCATCTTTAAAAGCTCTACTCAGCCCTCCTAATCCACCTCTTGGTAGAATTACTTCCAATTGGTTAGACTTCTGCAAGTTTGGACAAAAGCCAAACTGGTGTTAGAGATTTCAGGAGATGTTAGTGTCCTGTTAAACAACTATAGGAACGAAAATCATTTGAAAGATTGTGACTTCAATTCCACCTTCGTTACGGAGCGAGAGACCGCAAACCAAATGGAACAGGAAGAAGAACGAGGAAATGCAAGAGCCAGCAACCCTCTGCAAACAAAAAGACAAGAGGATGTAGAAGAAACATTTAGTTCTTTTTGCATTTTATGTTAAACAGGGAGAAATTGCAGATTTCTTTCTTATGTGGGATCATGGTGAGTGACAGTTGGGCAAGCTGAAAAGCCCCCGACAGTTTTACACTACAGGACTGCTGAAGCAGGCAGTTGAATGAATTTGAGAAAACTGCATTAGATTAATGAAGAGTGAGCCTGCCAGCCAATGAAATAAATAAATGCAGAGAGAGAGAGAGAGAGAGGGTGAGGGAATAATATTGAAAGGAGGGGATGGTAATATAGGAATTGTAATGACTTTTGGAGAGGAAATAAGTAAAGGAGCTAGTGAGAAAGAGAGAAAAACAAAGAGGGACAGTTTCCTGCAGACGCGACATTGGCAGCATGCAAAATCCTGCTGCATCCCACCATCACTGGAACACACTCACTAGTAGTGTGGACGTGGAATGACTGAGATCACTACCAAATCCATCCCTATCCATCCTCCATTCATTATGCATGGTTCTGTAGCATATTAGGGGCAAGAATGTATGATTTGTTAGGCTGAATCCTCGCAGTCACAGCCACAGGATTATTCACAGTTCAAGGGAAGAACCCACATACACTTTGTTTCACAGAGCCAAACTCAGACTTACACATGTTGACTGGAGAAAGTCTGTGTATCCTTGACCATGTTGAGACCCCAAATATGTAACTTTCAGAACTACTCAAGAGCCTCCAAGGCACCAACAAACATGTACAGTCCCTTAAGTTGCAAAATGTCCATCTTACAAAACAGTCGTTCCAACCTAGAAACTAACTGTCCTTACAACAGCCACAGTATTGATGGGTCTGAGGCACACTTTTTGCCTTTTATGTGAAACACTTGACTGACCGGCCATAATTATATTTAATACCTCTATTCTGGGAAAGCAGAAAATCGTTTGTCCTTCAAAATCACAGCGTAGTGCTGAGATTGCTTACGATGTGGGACGCCTCATTTCAACTACCATGGGTCCAACAAAAGCCTTGAACAGGAACAGTGATAAATATATTTCTCTTCTGGGCTCAATCCCTCATGATTGCAAGTATTCAGATTAAGGAAAAATGTTTTTGTTTAGTTGTGGTAGAAGTAATCACATCCTTTTCTTTAGTTAAAGTAAGGTGACTCCCTTGAAATTAAAAGTCCTGCATTCAAAATAGAAAAGCAGTGTTATCAACCAAAATGTAATTATAGTTTAAAATAGAAAATAAAAGTATCGTTCTGCAGAAAAAGGTCCCTTATGACTGATTATTATATAAGACACTATTAGAATGTTAATAGTAATGCAATAATGTGTAAGTTGCTTTATAATGTTGCTGCTGAAGTGCAGTTGTTTGTCACCATAGACTGTATAAAATATGGATGTTAATGTGCTTCTAGAGACACATACTGTAGCGGTAACTACCAAAAAAGCTGTTTTGAAAGATTTGCCAGGTGTTTATATTTCTGTCTGTCTTATGCTTCTGGCCTGATTTGGTGTTGCGGCTGGTGTGATCCCATCGCAAGACAATCTCCGATTTGTAAGACACTGTTTCTGCTAAACATTAGGGAATGAAATGGAAAGGTCTTTGGGGATTGACACAGCAATTCATTTCACAGCACCAGAGGTAGTGCTTGGTCTAACAAGTCCAACGGTGAGCAATCCTTTGGCCACCTCAGAAGGGTCACAAAGAAGACTAAAGGCTAAATTAGACTTTTCTGTAATCTTTACTTTTTATATGTATTTACATTATTTCAACTACTTGTATCTCAAACTGTTTTTGAAATGAACCCAGCTGAGACTATTAGAGAGGTAATACCATAGGGTCAAACTATTGAAGGAAATCTGAAACGACCAACCTCCCTAAGTTGAGTTATGGTGACATTTTAAATAGGTTGGCATGAATGGGCGCACTCCAGAAGCTTGATGTTCTCCACCAGCCTGTCATCTGGTTTGCAGCAAATGCTCCTTTTGAAACCCACCGGTGCAATATTTATTGCTCTGACAACCGGCCATCTGTCAAACGAGTCGTAATATTCATTGGTTCATGCTTATCTACAAAACCATCCATGGCCTGCTGCTCACCAGGTTTTTTTCTAAATAAAAAATGATGATCTGAAATGAACTATTAACTAAATCTGTAGCGGAGAAGAATGTACAATGTTTGCCTCTGAAATGAAGTGAAGAAGAGTTATAAAGTAGCATAAAGTTAATTACAAGTTTTCATTCTCCATTAACCTACATTTATATGATCAGTTTAATTATCCAGTAGGAAGGAAGAAAATGAACCATGCAGTCTTTGTATGGACCAGAAGGTTCTGTGAAGAGAAGATAGATGGGTGAGAAGTCTCAGTGGCTTCAGCACAAGCCACCTTTTCAAATTCAGTCATTTATTTAAAATTCATATAAATGTCTCTTAGTGGAGTTTAAAAATCACTCAATGCATCCCATTTGCCTTGACATTTGTAAACCCTGAGAGAGGGTCTCTGATAGGCTTGCTAACTGCACAGTTTGTGCTCACTCTTACATTACGAATGATGTTGATACTGAGTGGCCTGCGGATGTTGGAGTAAAGCTCTCAGTAAGAGGAGTGACGGGGGCAGACAGGGGCAGAGCCATCAGCCTCCGAGGCAGCACAAAGATCCCCCAGATGGTTGAGTATAAAGGGGGTCGAGCAGGAGAGTGTGGGGGGGGTAATGGGACTCAGGCCAGGGCTTGATCAGCTGTGGCAAGGTCACCTGGGCCGTGCAGGATGTCTGCAGTTGAAAAGCCTGAAACACCCACCATGATCCCAGGATACGTCACTGATTATTAGATGTTTGTTCACCCTGGACAAGGTATCTCCATGACAATTTTCTCGTCAGATTCTAAGCATCCATGTAACAAATTGCGACAGAAAAGCAATCGCATTTGAAGCTGTCAGAAGAAAGAATGAGTTTGACATTGAATATGTTTTACTTATTGGAGAACTGACAGAAATGTCAGATGCGAAGTGTTTGGTGATGTGCTGCGTGACAACATGAGGTTCTTCTTAACCTGCAGCATCGCTAGGCAGGCTTATGTGACAATGAACCAGAAATAAAACACGAAAATAGTTTTTATTAGTATTAGCCACACTGACTTACACATACCTACAATTTGAGATTAGAATGTTTTGTTTTTTAAGAATAGCTGGTCAAATTGGTCTTGCTTCCTCAGTGACCTTCTTCAAGTCGATACCAAAAACGAGTAATTTCACTTTCTATGCCATTTCACTTAAACTCATACAGTATGCCTTGTTTCCACACAGTACGACCAACAGTGTTCACTGTAGGGAAATGATTAACCAACGGAATTTCCTGCTGTGTAGTTCTAGTAATGGCATGGAGCTCTACCGAGACAGAAAATATATATGTTGATGTACACTTTTATTTACCTTTGATTTAGCATATAATAACCATATATTTGAATTCCCAATGTTCTAAACTAGTACTCCCTTTTTATTTATACAATTGCTCATGTGTCTATTAATATTGACAAGCAGCAACTGAATCTAATGAAATAGCTTGTGTGCTAATTTGCGCTGGCAAACAGTGTCCTACATTTGCCACATTTCTTTCGTGGTCTTAGAGGCCGAAATAAAAAACATAAGGAGGCATGTGTTTCTGTCTGTGCTTACAGTATGTGCTCTTGTATATTCTCTTTTAATGCAATCAACCTGCCAGGGACTGCAGATGAGAATCTGAGCCTTTAGGGCTAAATCTGGCACAGTTAATTAGTGAGCATTGTCCCTTCTTGAACAAATACAAAAAAGAAGTTGAGATAACAGAAGTCACAATAAAAATGAATTGACTTTTGGTTGACTCACATAACCACACATAGCAAGGTTGAAGCTAAGCGCTACATGGTATTAAGCAATACTGTTAGCAGAGTTCCCGTTAGCCGGTAATTACCGGACTATGACCGGTAAAATATGCTGAAGACCGGCAAATCTAAATCTCTCCGGTCAAAATGTCCGGTCAAAATGATTTCCCCTTAGCGCAATACCGCATCAGTTGCGCCACTTATGTGACAGACAAGAATAGTATGTGACAGACAAAAGAGTATGTGACAGACAAGAATAGTCAATTCTAATGTCTACACTTAATGTGGAGAAAGAGTGTCCTGTATGGGTTGATTGTGCGTTGATCTGTTGGTAATGCCTCGGGGTTCCGGTGGGCATGTAAACAAATGCATAATGCTGCGCTATACTTTGTGGCCTCACCCCGTTGCATAGCGACGCTTATTGTTTAGTTGTCTTTTAATAAGCAGGTAGTCATATCATTAGCTAGAACTAGCTAGATCTGATCGATATGGAGATAAACGCGAGTAAAGTCTAATCTGACGGGAGAGATCAGCTGCTGCTGACGAGTCGACACGCATCTCTGCATGATCACCTGCAGCGGTGAGCGGAACAAAACACACACTTCAGGTTAGAATATCACACGTAGCTATTTTAATTACCTCTCAAACTACCTAAACTAGTTATAGATATGTTTAGTTTTACTGTCGGGTCACTCATTACTGGATCCGCGAGCTGCATGATACTGACGTGTTGTCAGGAGAGGGGGAGAGCGCTCCGTTTATTATTCCCGTGTTATTGTAAATTACTGTACACATTTGAATAGTTAATTAATCTACTATAATTAGTTTGTTTAATATCGAATCATATCAATTTGTTTCAAAGCTCAATAAATAACATAGAAGACCTTTGACCGGCACTTTTCTAATTTTGTCCGGAAGATTTAAACTGTAACGGACATGTTGACCGGCAAATAATTATTCTAACGGGAACTCTGACTGTTAGCTATAATTAATGTACGCCTTTGTGTGTGTGTGGGTATTCATTAGGTACTTGTTAGCACTTGCACACATTGTTTGAATAAAAGGCTATAGAAATAAAGGCAATTTTTATTAAAGCTGGAGAAGCTCCTTTTATATTTGCAACCTTTTGACTGTGCAAACGTTTATCTGATTTGCAAGAACAATATCTCTTTGAAGTGCTCAAAATGAAATGAAATATCACTAAACAGATTCTCTCTGATGAAATGTGTTGAGACATGCTTGTGTTATCAGATTCTCATTTAAGTTAGCTTTAAGCACATACCCGTTGTTCCTGGCAGGACACAAACGTCTGAAAGCCCGGCGCCACTCCGAAGCCCAGCTGGTCTATAAACGGAGGCTCGTCCTGTGTGTGGATCTGAACCTTGATCCCCGCTTCAAACGACGTCTCGTCTGTTGACAAGAAGAGGTGAGGACATTTACAACAGGGACGGTGATTTGTATGCACACATTGGCCTGTGTGATCCACCCAGGAGCAGTTGTTACTAATCACACAGAGAAAAGCTTCGCAAAGGGGGAATATGCTTCAGCCGGTTAGTGAAAAACAAGCGAGGAATCAAATCTAGAAAAACAATAAAGATAACACAGGGGAAATTATAAGACATCGCTAACTTGTAGTTGGATTTCAGCTAGAAAGAAGCACTCCAAGAGAGTAATTGCTTATTCATTAGTTACATCTGTGGACTTCCAGAGATGACACATTGTGGTATTTGAGGAGTTAACAATAGCTGCAATGAGGAATGAAAGGACAAAGAAGATGGACCTCCTAAGTGGAGCGGTTGATAACAAAACGTCCCCCACAGGAGTTTTATTTACTGCAGGCTGAAACACGCAAGTGAATGGATAAATTAATAAATAAATTATGATGAGGATAAAAGGAAAATCAATACAGCCGACAGCCCCCTTTGCTCCGGCACTCTGCTGTATAGATTTTAAATGAAGCAGATGTGCCTCTTTGATACTGAGATAAGGGGAACATCACAATGACATGGTGAGCCTATACTTGTGCAAACCCACTTCTATCACATTTGCAAAGACCTGGAACTGCTTATCATGGTGTCGGCAGGCCGGATTGAACAGATTTATTTCCTTTGAGTGTTGGCTCAGGGATAAAGTAGGATGTCTGTTTCCTGCCGTCTTTCCTCCCGCGCTTGTCACTCGCCCTCGTCCTCTAAGTGCTAGGGCTTTCTCACCATTTTCAATTAAAGAGCTCGGGGATGCGGCTGTAATTCAGCAGACGATGAGCTTCGACAAAGAGCGACAGACTTTAACGGTTTCACATTGCTCTTCTGAGACCCGGTGCAAAACCATCTTCTTATTCTACTGCCGGCCAAGACTAACGATTGAGGCTTGGAGCAGCAAAATAAACATAAGTGGTGCCCAAGCTCCTGCCTGCAAAAAGCGCATGTCGTTTTTAATTCATGGCCATCTGTCAGTCTTGTACGCTGGAAACGATTATATGCAGGCTGGGCCTAAGATTGAAATAGAAACTTGACCATAGTTGACGCTGTACAAGTTTGTCACTGCCTATGCTGACAAGTACACAGAAAGGGTTTTATAGTTAGTTAGAACCCGGGGACATGCTGTTGCTATGGTTTTAACAACAAAGTCGAAAGCTCATCAGTTAAACGCCGCAGGAAAACTAATTATATATTTTAACCAAAGTACTGTACATCATCAGCCTACCTGCCCACTCACATTTCTTTGCATTCCTCTTCTTAATCTCAACATGGTGAGCTCTCCTGGAACGTTTTGATCAGGAAAGGGCCTCTGTGGTTGCTACGGTTGCATCACAGCATGAGGGGGTTGAAAAGATGCTTCCATCTGTGATGTTTATGTGACGAGTTTGAATGTTCTCCCATGCCTGCTAAAGTTTCCTCTGATTGCTCCTTTTTACCCACAGTCAAACAGGACATGTGAAGGAACAACTCTAAATTGCCTGTATGTGTGAAAGTGAGTTCTACATGTGTTGGACCAACTCTCATAGACTCACAACCTTTTGTGGGATACAAAACACACTCTAACACAATGCATGCTGGAATATCGCTATGAGACGCCGAATAATATGAGTGTGTATAAAGACATCATGGTGGATACTTTTTTAGACCTCAGGCCAATTGTGTTATCTGCCATGCATATTCAAGGTGTTTGTAGAGCTTAAGAGCAATACATATAACACCGCTCCTAATCACAACATGAACAAACCCAAACTCAATGATGTAATAATGGATAGATTGTAGACGTATAGGTTCCATATTTAGTAAACAAGGTAAGTTAAATTATGCCTCCATTTTCAAGGGTTTCTCCACGAGTGCATCACTGAGCACCTGTGGAGTCATTAAAGAGATCACAATGATTTGTTGACAATATTTAATTAAAGAAAAATCGGTTATAATTCACAGTTATGTTTTGGATGTTAATTGTTTTAACTGAGCCAGATATACTTTGTGTTAATGAGTCAGTTTAAAGGGAATTCAGGGCAACTTTGTAATATATAAAATACATTAAAGAGGTGTTGTATCCAATTTCTATTTTGCATACTGCAACTTTATCCGACCAAAGGTTACTCATCTGTCATTGCCTGTCCCAACATTTTGATAAGCGTCTTATGGAAGTGTAAAAATAAACAGTTTTGTTTAGCGTACTTAGGAGATGTTAATGAAGATTGTACATTATTTAGACCAACACTAGAAACAACATCTTTGTGTGCCCAAAATGTTGGATGGCAAAGACTTAAACAAAAAGTTAGGCATTTGTCATCAATTGTCATAAGCACTTGCAATATTACAGTACAGTACATACAATAAGACTATTCTCCACCATAAAAAAACTCAGATTTTGAGAGGGAAGTGTTGACCATATTTGGCATTCTGTAAGTCAATAAAGTATGCTGAGCCTTTACATTACATGTTACGTGTTAGACGCTTTTATCCACATGATTACAATGTAAGTAATTGTATGAAGTTGTGCGTGTACATGTTTAATAAGTACACATGTTCAGGCGTGGATTCAAAGTGCACATTCAGAGCTTGCATGCTTTGATAAAAGAGGCCCCAGGTGTTAGAAATGGAACATTATGCAATGCACGGCATACAGCCAGATTAAACAAACAGGTGCTAAATGCTGTCTAATACGACTAATCAATGGCCATTCTGCACCATTTTGGCATTAATGACAAAACCTGCAAACAACCCTCATGCATAAGAAGCCATACATAATCATAAAGTTGTGAAAACAGAATAAAATATGCCTGTAGTTACTGCATCGTTATCTTTCAAACACATACGAGTCTTTCATTATTTAATGATCTTGCATAAAGAGCATTACATATTAAATATATTTAAATCATTTAGCTCTGGCATACATGCAGCCTTATGTTTGAACATTGTAGTCATAGCTTTCGGCTTCATGTTTAATGATCATGTTCAGAGTTTCCGTGACCATACTGAACTGTCTCTCAACATTCATCGCCCACTGCATGTAAAATATTGATGCCAACACACAGCAGCATATGCAGCTGCATTAAAAATCTAAGTTTCAGGGTCTCTCGGAGCGGCATCGAGGAGACTCAACCGCCTTGATGAGGGCTCGGCCCAGAATGGAAGAGCCTGTACCCTCCATTGATTTTAAATCTGGCAGATTGTGCTGCTCTTGTTTGATTCATGTGGACTTTGAGTCTAACTGACAAGTGATACAATTATATTACAATGAAATAAATTCTCAGATCAATATCCATCTGTCCTTATACAGATTAGTCGATAACATCCCACGGACACAGTGGGTGCTTTTTAAATGATCAGAGCGTGTATTTTCCAGGGATCATCAATCAAGTTCAATAAAAGTGTAAAGAATATTTCATATTCCAGATTTGAAGTCTGCACTTCCACTAAACTAAATGGATTTAGGGTTTCACAAAAACATCAATAACACCTAGTCAGGCCTCTATCTCACAGACTAGGCAGGAATGCCTGTGATAGAGTCTTTCCCCTGACATTTTTCTAACAGCGCTGAAAGCTACTCCGGTGTTTAATTGATACAAAAAAGAGAATCTCTTTTTAAGTTTTCGCTTAAGGGCAAACATAAACACCAATCCTGTGGTTTAGGCTGAGGTTTTTCCCTACTGGGAAGAGGATGTTTGATGTAATGTATCCTGCAGGTAAACTTACCAGTCTCTCCCCATACAGGCAAGTATTCATCCTGCTGGATATCCAACATCAGTTCCAGGCCGTTACCCATCCCACCCTTCATCGTCACCATGAGGGGTCGTCCATCTTGGCCTGAATTAAAGGTGTAGCACTTCCCATAGCGAGTGAATATCTGAAATACACAAAGAGACAAATGCAGGGGTTTAGGTGATACATGGTCACAACAAAATGATAAGGAAAAAAACCCCTGTGGAGATAAAGGTAGCGCAGAGAAGGGGATTGTTTTAAAAGCAGCAGGAAAGCTCCTACAGGAAGCCTTTCTGGTTAGGCTGTCCGCTGCAGGCCTCAGAGGTCTTGGTGCTGAGCCCTCACTCCTCTCAGTGCTGCATGATAAAGTATGTGCTTGAGTGGATATGACATGAAAACAAAAATGTTTTACTTTGTTCAGAGAGGGACTCCCTCAAACAAACCAACAATGGCTCCTGGCATCAAATCAAACTTTGCAAAAAGATTCTTCAGATACAGATTTAAATATTTAAGAGAAGGTAATGATTTCAGGAATTTTGGATAGGATTTTTTTATTATCATTCGAGCTCTAAAGTCTATTTCAGTCAGTGTGCAGGTTATTAAACAGCAAGAAGCACAGACAACACACATTCACTGGTTCCAGCTGCTTGCATGTAAGTGAATATTATGGGTTTTTTGACTATCAGAGGACAAAACAAGTCATTTGAAAATGTCCCCATGGGCTCTGGGATATGAAAAAGGGTTGATCAATAAATCAAAGTAATTGTCAGAAAATTGATCATTTAGTTTTTGTCCTATTTATCATCAAATCTAGGTTTGGGTCCTATACATGTCAAAAAAGCAGAACCAATACATGCACAAGTTGAGATTTAAGTGTCTCGTTTGAATGCAAAAATATTTAGCAATTGAAAACTAATATAACCATAACATATTCCCTTTCAAAAAACCTAGAACTATTGAGTTTGGGGAATTTGTCCTTTGAATTGACTACATTTTAAAGCTCTTATAAAATACCAAGTGTCATAATTTTCTCTCACAACTGAATTCAAAGCATCACCAGATCAAGTGAGCCCAACCAGTTCCAGTCTCTCTTTATCTCCACAGTGCGACACGAAACTGCAGATGCAACTTAAGAGTTCAGTGAACATGCTGCATTCTCATGAAACCTGACACTATTTATGCCCTCGGATTACATGCCTGAAGTGTGTTCGTCTTATTATTGGATCAGGAATGAGCTGCACAGTAGTGCTGTAGAGCTACTAGAGCCCAGCAGAAAACGTTGATCTATTGGCAAAGACACAATGCCAGTGAACTAATGGATGGTAATCAAATCATAGACATTAGGAAATTGAAAGCCATGGCCAGGATCCAAAATAAAATGTCTGCCTACTTTGTTGTCAAGCCACATGATTGTGAGCCCTGTATCAAAGCATCCTCGCTCATAATTAACTTATTATTAACCTTCAACGTTTTGACATTCATATGAGGAAATGGTAAACGGAAGTGGGGGTGGGGTTTGTTGAGTACAATATGAGCAGGAAAGTAATAACTGATATAAGTCTGCCTATATTTGTCCGTCACTCTATGTCTAACAATCGTACTCACTAGAGATAAGGCATCATTGCGAGGTAGTGGTACAAATAACTTGATCTAAACACAGATAGCTTGCACAAAAGGCTTTTCTTCAGCTGGGACTGCCTGAAGAATGTTTCTTATATTTCTCGTGAATGCATTATGAGATCCTTGGGAACACATCAGTAGGCGTTCATTACAGGAGTGACATATGAGTCAGACATAAGCATGTCATGGAAAAATGACTCAAACGTCACAAACACCAGATGCACAGAGTTGAGAAATTGCAGCCGTGTCTCACAAAAGAAAAGTTATCATAATGTGAATCCTGCTCAGTGAAGTGTGCGGGGAAAAAAATGGAGAGTGAATCACAATGGATTGCCTCCCAGGGTGCGAATAGATGGGATCTTTTAAGACACAAAGTGGAGAAATGTAATAAAAAGCGTTCTGAACCCAATATAAAAGTGACCTTTCAAGTGCACAAGTGAATCAAAAACAGTGAGTGCTGTGCCTGCCAATGTGCAGTGACTGTAGAGCAGGATACAAACATCAATAAAATGGCCCTGAATCCATCTCAGTCCTTGAGTCGCCTCTCGCCGTAATCAGATCACTGTTTATCATTACTTTTTTGAAAATATAAGGCAGGGGGAATCTAATGATATCAAAGCACAACCTGCACAACACATCTGATGATAGGGATGGGAAAAACCTGCAGAAGAAAACGGTCTCTGAGACTTTTCTATGCACAGTTTTTTCCCATGAGACCCTGCAACACCCAAACAAATAAAAAACCACGCAGTTTGTTAAGGCAATTTCTTTCCTTAGTTTTACCCGTTTACTGCTTACAATGACATATTTTTTACGAGACAAGTTTGACAATCAGAAAAAGAGGCTGAAAGCATTTGGCAGATATACATCAAGACAACAGCGATGCGATTGCTAGTGATTGTTTTGTAGCGTGCGTATGAGCATGCACACTTTTGTGAGAGGGAATGATGGGCATACCCACATGGGGATGTTCCGAGTATACAGTATTTGTGTGTTCGTTGCCATCTGCGTGTACGTGTTGCTAACGTGGTGATTGACTAGGGGAGGTCTATAGTCAGAGTTGCTGTGGTAACCAACAGATAGTGCTGGGCTCATAGAGAGAAGAGCAGCAGCGGCAGCGGTGGGTGCTGGTGATGACCTTGGGGAGTCGGGATCTCCATTGTGCTCTGCAGCTCTGAGGCTTGCACTCAGTCTCTCTTCATTCTTCATGTCTATCGATCGCACAGCCTGTCTATCTTCATCAATGGAGTTGGCGGTGTTTGTGCAGCATAAGCAATCATAAAATACATTACAAAAAATTCATCAGGAGTTATTCTGGACTAACTAGAGGCAGAAACCCCATTTGAACAAAAACAAAACTGTTTTAATTTAATTATTAATTATTTAAATTATGGAAGCAATCAGCTGCATTGAAGGACTACTCACATTTATGGAAAACATTGTTGTTATTAAATAAAAAAACTTAAAAACATTTAGAGTTAGAAGTGAGTTTCTATATTTGAAGTATAAAAGGCTTTATTGTCACGTGAAAAATAGCTATAGCTTAGGTTTGGCCGTCCCAGGCTTCCCCATTAATGCAACATACAATAAAATAGTGCAATAAAAAAGTGCACAAGACAAAACGTTGCAAATTGCAGAGATAAGAAAAGTATATACATATAAAGAATATTGAGTAAGATAAACCACAATGTTAAATGTAATACAGCACAGTTAAATGAACTGTATAAAGTAATGATATATAATTAAATAAATAAGCCAATATTTGTGATGCTTTTTTGTATTGCTCAAACTGCCTATTGCCCTTAAACTGAAAACCACTGTATTGTGTGAACTTGTAAACACAGGAATAAAATATTAAAACCGATCCCACCTATGAGGAAAAACACTGAGAGAGACATCATTCTCTCTTGTTCTTGTAGGGTGTAGGAATACCATAGTCTCTCTCTACGATAAATAATTCACAGTCACACAGCTCAAGACTGTTGAGATGGCCCTCGGCCATCCTTCACATGACAATGTGACAAGGCTGCACAAGCTGTTCCTTAAAGTTGCCAGGGAACCACTTTCCCTCCTCTCCATTGATTTCAAGATCAGCGCTGAGCACCAAGGTGCAATGTGTTATGACAGCTACAAAAACAGACACAATAGAAAGATTGTCTGTGTAGTACTTGGCACTAAATCAACTTGGCATCACATAGGATTCACTGATTTTATCACTGAACTTTATGGAGTATATTTACGATCAATGAATACAAGTAACAGGTAGATAATGAAGTGTGGTAATTTACTGTTCTACTGCATCGACTACTTCATCTGTATGTGGAGGGAGTGTTCACATCTCACACTGTAAAACAAAGCAATAGATCTAGCCAAAAATACACCAAAGAGTCACATTTTGAATCCAGCCCCAACAAAACATAACTGCAGGCTCTCTAAAATACAATCTCACCCCAAGGTCCATTAAGCAGTTTTTTTGTGGAGCTTCTATGCATAACAGTCATTCAGCAGATGAGAATCCAAAAAAAGCTGCTAAATGGACCTTGGGGCGAGATTGTTTTGTAAACTGCTGTTTCCAAGGTCAGGAATGAACTCTGAACCTAAACTTTTAGGGCATTTCATCATCATTTTCAGACAAAGCAGGCAGCTGTACAGCTGAAAAACTCTGATAAACGTACTTTCTGCAATGCACTCAAGTATACAAAATATAAATAGCTACTTACTGGTGAAGGAAGCGAAATATTAAGCAGGCTAAGAGCTAAATATTTCCTTCAAGAGGTAGAGGAGAGCAGAACTGAGCCAAAATATATCGGACTTAAATTCAAATCTTTTATGTGTCTGCTGGATGTGTAAATAGGCAATATGTCAATGTTGTGTTAACAATCTGTAGTGCTGCATCAAAGTGGCCAAAACATCAAGTTAGTGCAAGTTCAAAGAGACCCTATTATGCTTTTATGGGTTTTCCCTTTCCTCTAGTGCAGTGACCATCAACTGGCGGCCCGCGGACCACATCCGGCCCGCCAGACATTCTCATCCAGCCCGCACGGCGGGGTTACTGTGGCGTTGGCGGAGTGGTTAGTGAGTTCGCCCCCCACTATTTTTTTTTTTTTACAACGTCTCGTGAGCATACTTGCCAACCCTCCCGATTTTTGCGGGAGACTCCCGATTTCATTGCCCTCTCCCGGTTTCCTCCCGGGGTCATATTTCTCCCGCATTTCTCCCGATTTCTGACAAAATCAGATTTACTCAGGACCGTTTCCACTCGGACTTTAATAAAGCTACACCATTGTTTGGTTTCCATGGTAGCGTAGCGCGCGCAACTGAAAGTCTGAGAGGGTGAGGAAGATAGTCACAGCAAACAGAACAAGAATCGACAATTCTACCCTCTGCTCACTCCTTTCCTGCCCACACATATGGTGCTACAGGCCGCAAGGCAGTGCACTTACAACTACAATAAGCATGTTAATGTTAATCTAATACAGCTCCGGCGATCCACTAGCACCCCCCCCCCCCCGCGGTGGTTTTGGA